ACTTTTTTAATGATTTTTTGTATTTGTTTGTTGTTTTTTTTTAAATTTAACAGAACTACTCATATGGATGGCAATGAGGAAAAGCCATAGGCATATTTGTTGTGCAACAGACATAGTTTGTCTAGTTATTATTAATATTGTTGTTGTCCTTACCGTGATCTAACTGACTACTATCCATAATAGTTGGGGGCATAATACTGTTTTCATAACGTTTTATTGAGGTCGCACATTGAATATAGACACAAAAGGTTGACAACTCATTTCAAGACTTACCGTACTATTTTATTGCGTCTCACTGTGGTACTAGGACTTTATACGTTGTTATATTCACATATGAATCTGATTGACCTAGCGATACATCACCGTATTTCGTGTTCCCACCTCCCCTCATCAACTAACTATATTTGACTACAGATTTTTTTTTTTTTTTTTTTGGCTTGATTTTGAAAGCGACTTATATAGTGTATTGGAACGAACACTAGGATATTTATTGTTAACTTGTAGTTGTATGTATCTATTTTCTTTACCTCGCAAGGATACCCTTGCAACAATTTGCTACAAGTAGATCGTGAAATATAATGACAGGCCAATAGTAACTAGTCTTCTGTAACGTTCGTTTTGATCACGAAGCTTTAGTTGTACACTGTACCATATTCCCACGCTGGTCCGTGAACAAATATATTGATGTTTACTAAAACTTAGCCAAACTAGACAAATGATACTCTATACATAGGTCAATTTGACTTTGACTTGCTACTGAAAGGATACTATTACTGGCCGGTTATAGGCATATTTTAAGTTGAATTGATCTTTATTGCTGCGGTAGGCAATATTTTGTCTGTGGTTAAAGAATATATGTTTGGTAGTATTTTAGCATAGTAATCTTAAGTTAATCATTGTTCATGTAGAACTACAAGAGTCTTCAAAACTGTTATAGGCCTACTCTATAGTCAGCCAATTAGCAAACTGGTGATTAAGGAATAGCTACTTTTAGAGGTTCCTTTTAAATGTAAAAACCCGATTTGCAACCGAAGTCTAATATAATGTTATAACCATAAATCGTCAATAACTCATTTGATAATTATTACGACTAAACTATTTAAACATTTGCACAATGTCAGAATCGAACTTATTTACGGTATTCATGGAGTAGGACTCTATAGAGTACTCCGGGTCAACGCTTAGCTTTAATATACAAAAGCACGTCGGTATGGTTTTGTTCTGTATGGTGGTATGTTGCGTAGTTATGGTTATAATAACAATAGGACTGAGTGTTTAGAGAATAATGATTACATAAAGTGATATAGCGCATTGTGAGCTAAGTATATTATAATATTCATTCATTTAATTATTGATCGGGACTCACATATCGAAAAACGCAATGCGACTGATCGAATTTCAATAGTCAATTTTCTATATTCCCTTCCATTTGTTCTACAAAAACAAATTTACAATGGTGATAATTAACATACTGTATGTATATACATAAATAATAGACTAGGTTAATATAACCATATCAAACCCTTATATAACTTGATAACTTCATACTCTAGATGAATGATAATCATTAACTGATAAGCAGCTTTTTCATTGAATATATACAAC